GTTTGGAGTTATGTCATTTGAATTAATATAGAAGGAGATGAATGGTTTGGAGTTGAATGCAAACATTTAACAAAAAAACATAAATTGACAAAAAAAAATATAGTAGTGGATATTGAGAGAATGAAAGAGAAAAAAGAAAAATAAAGTTCTAGGCTTTAGGAGAGGCCACTTCAAACACTCATGGTTTATTCTTTAATATATATATATATATATAAAATAATACATAAGAGTTATAATGCAAACAAAAATCATGATACAAACATAAATAAAATTATAATGCAACCAAAATCATGAAACAAATCAATATAAAATTATTACCTTTGCAACCAAAAAAATCAAATATTGAACTTGAATACTTCTTCAAATCTTCATGACATAATGCATAAAAACTATAATGCAATCTAAATAACGAAACAAACATACATAAAATTGTGGGAAAAGTGAAAAAACAAAAAAAAAACTATGAAGATTATCAATAGTGAAATAGAAGAAAAACCAAAGAACTTGAAACTTCTTCAAATCTTCATGACATATAATGCAATTTAAATAATGATACAAACATACATAAATTATGGGAGAAGTGAAAAAAAAAATTATGAAGATTATCAATAATAAAATAGAAGAAAAACCAAAGAGAAAGAAAATAAATTTAGAGATGTATAAGATAGAGATAGAATTTGAGAGGGTGTGAGAGATGMAGATGAATAAATAGTTGTTGTTAATGAAGCTTAAATTCGAAAAAAATTTATCATATCCTGTGATTATAAAATATCAAAATTTTATTCGAATTTATATGATCAAATCATAAACACAATTTATATAATCAATCGTAAACACAATCATATCCTATGATAACAACACATCCAACAATATTGAAAAAGAAACATGTAATAACAAATCACATTTTTTAATGAATATAATTTCTACATACCTTTTAAAATCTTTGAATTCTTCTTCAACTCTCATCTTCTTCATCCTTCACCAAAGGATTTTATATGATTTCATTTTGTTTATTATTGAAACTTTAAAAAACAAATTTCATTAAAAAATAAAAGAAAGTAAATGAAAGAGCAAATGAAGAGTTGGAGGTTAAACTTGGGTATACAAAATTACAAAAATAACCCAGGTTAATTATGAGATATACATTTTTCATCAAGGGGCAAAAGAGTCTTTAACATATTCAACATTTAAAAAAATCAAAAAATGAGAAAAAAAATAAGAGGGGTTCTAAGCATTAGAAGGTGTCACCTCATTACCTTTGGTTTCTTCTTTAATATATATATAGATTTAAACGGACGGATATCCAATAAAAAAAGAAAAAGACAAAGAAATAGAGTATGACGTCATTTCCTTCACAGTACCGGACAATTGTTTCGCCGTAAGATTTTCGTCTTAACCTCCCACCAACTTAATTAACAAATAAATTAATCAAAAATTACAAAAGACGCCCTTCAAATTACACCTATGAACACTTTGGTCCCTTCACTTTATGATTTGTCTCTTTATGTATCATTTTTTATTGTTGCTTCAAGTGAAAAATGGCCTTACAAAGTTACAACCCTCAACCAAAGTTTAGGTGCCAAAGACTACTCTATAAAACCTATTGCAAAAGTAAAATTAACAAATCATGTTTGTAACATTTATTTTATTTTATTTTATTTAAATATAAATATAATTGTTTATTAAAGAATTGTTTTAATTTTCGATTATCGATTTGAAATAAAACTATACATTTCTCTTTATCGTACATGTAAGTATCAAAATAACAAATGATTATTTGCAAACAAAATACAAATGTAAAATATAAATATCGTTCCTGGGGTTTTTGGAAATCATCGTCCAAAACTTTTGGAAATCAAAAGACCATCATTTTAGTTTGTATTTCGTTGTTAAATATATCTCAATTTCTTGTTTTTTTAGTTCAAATATCAATCAATTTACCAGATATTAAAATTTATATATGTTCAAACCAATTCATCTGGAAGGAAACTATATACATTAAATAATAATATAAATTGCTATTCGGTTAACCGATATGGTAAAAAGTAATCAAAACCGAAACATATCTTATTTCGTAACCGTTTAACCAACAAATCGGATAACTGAAAACTAAATTGGTTTGAGTGAGTTATTCGGTTTTGAATGTTTTTATATCCCTAGGCCCCAGTCACCTAAATTTTTTGATACGCCACTACAAGGTAGTGATATACTGACATAGATGGTGGTGGCGATGTAATGAGAAGAAAACGACAAGAGGAAGAAGATGGACCACACGAGTATGTTTAACAATGGCTAAAGGTTGTAGTGGTGTTGTGATGAAGGTGGTTATTAAAGAGCGAAAAGGCAAATGTTAAGATAAACTCGCATGAAAGAAAAAAAAATGTGAATAAAGAAACCTGGTTATTGGCAGTGGGAAGAAGTTGTATTGGTGTACGTGGCACCAAAGGAAGGGGTTCCAAAGAAATAGGAGTATCGATCGATGATGGTAGGATTAGTTTAGGGTTTCTTAATGAAGAGTTTTATACACCCCCCAAAAAAAAAGGGAAAAAACAAAATTACCGTATCATATTCACCATGACTTGCACATGAGCAGGTCCGTTCCTGACATTTTATAGGTCTTGAGCAAGATATAAAAAAGGGGTTCTCAATAAGTACGAAAAAAATATATTTACGATGCAGTTTTTATCATAAAAAATAACATTGAATTCAAGGAAAAATACTAATAATTTATGTAAAACCATTTTCCGGGTATTCCTAGATGCAACATCACTTAATTAAAATATTATCTAACATATCATTTACATAGCATCGTCAATTTGGTCCACCGTACAAAACATCATATGATATACCTTTAATATATAAATTGACATCATCTAAGGTCACAGTGTTGATTATAATTCTAAATAACACCCTATATAAATTAATATAAATCGATTGGATTTCCATCCCACCACAGGTCAAAGTGTTTCATCTATGTCATAAACCTTTTGGGTTAAATAAACTTTTTCGAAACCATCAATATTAGAATCAAAAGGCCATGCTAGTTATAACTTGAGATCTTATTCTTGTTTTGATTTATTGAATATATAAGAGTACTTGAAATTCATCCAGTAAATAACTAAATAAAGATAATAAAGAGTCAATAATGTATGAAAAATAATGGTAGTTTTGAAATTCTAAATATAGATATAAGTTGGTCCGTCTTATATAGTTGGTAATCTTTTTAGACGTAAGAATTTTCTTAGTTAATAATAAGAAATCTACTATGTTTTAAAACAAAGATAGAAATCTACTATGACCCACCTTTGTAATTTTCAAAAGTTAAAGGAGTACATTCAGAATTTTCACAAAGCCCAAGGACTATTTATGTAACTTACTCAAAATACAAATATATTTGCAGGACTTCTTATGCAATGGTCCCTCTCTCTCTTCCACACACACCCCTGATTCTTTAGATTCTTCTCTCCGTGTCTTCTATCAGATCCTTTCGATACCATCAATAATTTATAGCTCCCATTCTCGCCGGCGCTCCATTTTGGGGTTTTGTTTATGTACATACGAAATATATAGGTGCGTATGATCCTGTAAAGTTATTGAGCTCATACTGTAGAATACAGGATCAATCATAAGTTGAATCAGTAGATGGCTTCGGATGAAGAATCACCACTTGTTGATCAAAATCAAATTGGAAGTCAAACGCTTAATCATGGCAGAGATATTCATATTCTGAGTTGGGCGTTCTTGTTGATTTTTTTGGCTTATGGTGCTGCTCAGAATTTGCAGAGTACGCTTAACACTGTGAGTCCTTTTGTGTGTGTGCATATATTGAATGTTTATATTGTGTTCAATTCACTGAATCTCTTGTATGTGAACTGTAGAGATTTGTTTTTTGACGCGCGAGTTTAAGGTTTTTCTTTCTTTCTGAAGATCGTACGCATTCGAAATGATTCATAGGGTGTTGGTGTAGACAGTATTGCGAAATTTACATGTTGACTTCGAATTATTTTGGGTGAAAATCATTTAATATATAAAATTATGCAGAAAATTTCAAAGTCAGTTACAAAAATAGGCTGGAAAATCTGCTGGCCCCTTGCTTTGCAAAAGATGCATATATATTTTTACAAAAAATCATGATTCCACTTTTTTAGGTCAAACTTGCTCAAAATTGATATGAGTTTAGAAAGTTCTTGAGATAACTTTGATTACATTGGCATCAAATGGACATCAATTTGAATTTGTGGAGTCTGTTGTTTGACCTCAAAAGTCAAAATTTTCCTGAAGTCATAATCACAAGGTAGCAACAAAAGCAATTGATTGTTTAGCATTTTTTGTATTTACTGTAATATTTTTTAATTTTATTTTTAATGGAGTTTAAGAAATGGGGTAAGCTGCAGATGGTTGGTTGATCATTAGATCTTCTATGTTTACTGGCAATGACTTTGTCAACACTTACAATATTATGGACCTTTACAAGTGTCTAATGTTATTTAGGAGCATATTGTAGCTTTCAAAGATATAGTGCAGGGTTTCTTTTATCTTTGCTTTTTCTTAAGAGTAGGCCGTAAACTGTTCCAAATGTTTAGATACTTTATTGTATGATCATTAGATGTTTTGTGTTGGATATTACAGGATGGAGATCTGGGAACTATTTCTCTTGGCATACTGTATACATCTTTCACAGTTTCTTCGCTGTTTGCTTCTTCGGTGGTTAGAAAGCTTGGATCGAAGAATGCTCTGCTGCTTGGTACTACAGGTTATTGGCTGTACATAGCTGCAAATTTGAAACCATCCTGGTAATTAGTATTCTTGCAATGCTGCTACAATCCCTGGCTTGAATCTTTTTATAAAATCAATCTTAACTATTTCCCATAGCCAACCTTTTTCAGTTTGTCAACCGGTAGATTTTGTTATGGGCATGGTTGGCAATGACAAGTAGGGTTGTACTCCGCAGTGGCCAGTTCATCTGGTTCTCTACTGAAAGGTCTTGGAATAGCTAGTGGTTATTTAGCATAGCAAATTAGCCTGTAATTAGGTTGTCTCCCATCTCTTGATTGCCCTTCCCTGGATTAATGATAAGGTATTGAAATAAATATGACCAAAAGAAGAAATGGTGATATGCTGTAGTTCCTAGTTCTATGGACACGTTCCCCTAACACTCACCATGATTGGTTGTAATTTCCCTTTCTGCCATAGCTTTGCCACTCACAGAATGCTACTTGACTTTTTCACAGTACAAATATAAATATTTGTCTGATGCACATAAAAAACACAACTAACATACCTAAAACACTACACAGTATGTTGTTATGCCATGTTAAAGATCATATTCATAACATGGTTAGTGGTGGATGAAATACAAAAGGAACTGTTTGCGACATTCCTCTGCTAATAATGAGAAATTCATCTTAAAGGCTTAAGTTATTCCTTTAAGACCACAACTAAATGTCTTCTCTCAGTTTGTGATATTAGTTGGATTCTGTCATTTCCCTCCTTATAGGTATACAATGGTGCCAGCTTCTTTGTACCTTGGGTTTGCTGCTGCTATTTTATGGGTTGGGGAGGTACTATTAACATCCTCTAGTTAATACAGCTTTCACTATTGGAATTTCTAGTCACATTGTCTGAATGTGTGACCTTATTGTTACAAAACTCCAGGCTCCTCTACCAATGGGATGCACTGATTTACCTCCCCTGTGATGACTGTAGGACCATTGCAGTGGACTGCCTCCCTCTGAGGCACCCACTGCAATGGTCCTACAGTCATCACAGGGGAGGTAAATCAGTGCATCCCATTGGTAGAGGAGCCGTGCCCAGGCTCGAACCTGGAACCTCATTCATATGGATGACACTCACGCCTTTACCGCTGGGACAGATCAGTGGATTAACATTGATGCTGCACAATGTTTGCAGTACTTTTGGGCTTGTAATAGTAGTATATTTTTTGCTTACTACTTGACCATATCATTGTATCTCAGGGGACATATCTTACCTCCACTGCACGGAGCCAAGCAAATGATCACAAGCTACATGAAGGAACTGTAATTGGTCACTTCAATGGAGAGTTTTGGGCGATTTTTGCTAGTCACCAGGTGGAGTTCACTGGACAAATTAACTATTTATTGTTTACTTCAAAATTGTAGAAGTAAAGTTAACAATCTCCACTGATAAACTAATTTCTGTCTGTATTGAATTGTCAGCTGGTTGGAAATCTTTTGACCCTTGCTCTGTTGAGGGATGGAGAGGTAAGCATCTACAACTAAAAGTTATTGCAATAAATTGGCTTATAAAAAACGAGCATCTGGGAGTAGAATAGTCTTACCACATGCATTAATAGCTGTGCTTTGTCATACATCAAGTGGAGCTATCACCAAGCAGAATAGAATCTTTCAGCAGAATCGTTGCGCTAAAGAGAAAAGGGCCTTCCATTTTGTTCTTTTTCATATTAGAAATCATCATCTATCTTCAAACTTTGGACTTTCACGTGTCTTAAGAAATTGACATCTCTTTGAAAATGTTTACTATAAAGCTATATTTAAAGAGTCCAAACAAGGATAATAGGTGTAGATAGAAAAGGCTAATAGTGGGATCTAAGGGAAAATGTGGTAGGATAGGGTATAATGAGTTACTTGTTTCTGAATACTTTGCCACTGATGGAGTGCGTAATTTGGATTAGGGACATCCCAAAGAGGAAAACTTATTACTTAGCATGGAGGGATAATCGTTCTAAGGTCTAAAGAAAAATGAATATGAACATACATTCTATCCGTTTAATACCGGTTATAAGTAGATGATATCATATATTTTCTCATTGTAATCAGGGTAGAAGAATTGTGTTTATTATGATGGGAATAAACCCCTTTAAATTAATACAAGAAGAACCATTAATTGACTAGATAACCAAAAGTAGACAGAAACAAAATCATGGTAAGCATCAAAATAATGAAGCATTGTTAAAAAACAAATAAAACTCATATAACTATCATAACCAGCATATTTATTTTACCGTTTATGTGGAATAGCTTCTAACCTAACTACAAAAAGAAGGCTTAATTAAATTGAATTTGAATATCGACACGAAACTTGAAATCATGATTCTTAATAACTTTTACATAAAAGATGTGAACTGAAACAGCTTGTCAGCTTCAATAATATGATGCAATTGCCAGAAATGAACTATTTGAATTTTAGACCCTTTAATTCTTTGTAGGAGGGAAGTACTAGTGGCACAACTTTACTTTTCACCGTCTTCCTTGGTAGCATGACCTTGGGAACGATTCTTATGGCCTTCTTAAAGAGAAGGGATGGTGAAGAAACCGAGGGACAGAGAGATTCTTCTGTTGGTTTCTGTACTTCCTTAGTCTCTTTGTGGAAGCATGTGGTAACTCCTTTGTGTGACACAAGGCTGTTATTGATTGTCCCACTTATAGCATATTCGGGTCTACAACAGGCATTTGTCTGGTAAGGATCAGTCAACTTATGATGCTATTATTGCAAGTATCCCTTTCATTCCTCTTCATTAAAGCTTGGATTCTATCCATTTATTGTAGGGCAGAGTTTACAAAATTTTTCGTTCAGCCATATCTTGGCGAGTCTGGTGTGGGTGGTGCTATGGCTGTATATGGAGTTTTTGATGCGATTGTAAGTAGTGGAAGTGGAACCTGAACTTTTATGCATAAGCTCTCCCCTCCTTTGATTTTTTTTTTCATCCCAAAAGTAGCGCTTTTGTTGATAAAGGGAACTAAGGGCAGGTTCAAATGACCGTAAATATTTTGAGAACCTGGGCACCAACTATTTGCTTTATCCATGATGAATGGTGTGATGAATATTCATGATGAAAGTTATTCATAAAGAAGGAATATGTATATATATATATATATATATATATATATAGGTGGAGGTTCAAACGAGAACCCCTGTGATTTACGAAAACGCGAGAATAACTCAATAACCACAAACTTTTTTAATTAATAAATTAACTTTTATTATATATATAAATAATTTAATAAGGGCAGTAATGTAATTAAGTAATTTTTATAATTTTTATTTTATTTTAATTAACCATGTTTATCTTCATGTTTCCACGTCTTCTTCTCCTTCTCCTTCTCCTTCATTGATCACGTCTTCTTCTCCTTCATTCATGTGTCTCCAAATCACACCCATATCATACCAAATCGGTAGTCGATTTTTTAAGTTAACCCTAGCCGAACGGAATCCTTGTGATAATTGTGTGATAATCACACATGATTATCACACCCAAATCACACCAAATCATGTTGATATAAGCGATAATGTGATAATTGTATGATAATCACATGATTATCACACCCATATCACACCAAAT